ATTATTGTCGCATTATGATATTATTCCTATCGATCTGATTATGAAAAAATGTGACCACAAATCCCATGTAACATTGAGAAAAAAACAAGTTTTACGTTTCAGGATGCATTCAATGATAGGACACTCACGGAGGCTGGTGGAGGACTTGATCCCGGAGCCGGTGGTGCTGGTGGCTGTGATGGTGATGTTGATGGTGCTGGTGATGGTGGTGATGGCGGACCTGAAACAATATGAACGATTGAATCATTATATATGACAGACGAAACGATCACCTTATCATACAGACAGAGCGGTAGCAATATCTACGGCAAAATAAACAAAAAATGTTCGGACAAGTACATTCAATACAAAAGGTATCGATAACATATAGCAAGACCGTTAACCCGCGCCCTGCTGGGGGGGGGGGTGTTTGAACACCCCCCCTTGTGGTTTTTCGCGAATATCTCAAAAACGGCGGCGCGGAGCGCCGCCGTTTTTGGTACACCTTATCATACATCAATTCTACACATGTTGTGAAAATTTCAGACCAAGGTCATTCAAGGTCAGGTCACCAGGTCACTTGAAGTGACCTCACCTCATAAAAACTTTCAATGTCTGTCCTAGCTACACCGAGTGACCGATCGCTTTGAAACTTTCAGCGATTGCTAAGAGCAACAGCATGTACAAAATGTATATCTCAGAATTTTGATATCGATGACCTAAGGTCAGGTCAATTTTGCGACCTCCCCATTATAAGTCAATGGGAGAAAATTGAAATGCGCCTCTTTTGGATGAAAGACATTATAAACACTCCCAAACACCGAATTACAAGTGGTTTAGACACACTGAACATGAAAATGGTGTCCGTGACCCTTGTTTATGCCCTGAGGTCATCTTAGGTCACGAATGGTATCTAACAGTTTTTCGCCAATAACTTTTGATAGAGGCATGCTAGAGCGATGAAAACGCCTTAGATGTGTTCAGCTCGACGATACGGATCGACTGATATGCAACATGACCCTTTCCGGTCAGGTCATGACCTTGACCTGAGGTCAAATTTTCAAGTTGACCTTTCAAGGTCAAGTTATAGTTCATTCGATGCGTCTTGACGAGAGGAACACGGTGCCGGTAAAAGTAAGCTCGTACAAGGCTTGAGTGAAAAGTTATTGCAGAAAAACTGTTTTCGAAAAAATCGGCTATTTTTGCAGTTTTTGCCCCCTGCAGGCAAAACCGTTGACGTTAGGTCAAATCTGAGAGAATTACTCAGAAAGGGCGTTAATAGGGCTATCGAATGCGCTTTTCCGCGGCGCTGTAGCTCTATTGGTTCCCGAGTTATGCGTTGGCTTCTTCGAAATTTTCGACATTCGACCTGGAAATCGGCGAAATTTTGCCTTCAATGACCTCTGGTGACCTGACCTTTGACCTGACCAAAAAATTGACCGAAGTGATTTCGTCATTATTTTTGACGCTCTTTCGAACGCCGCCTTCCGCGTATCGCTACGTGGCCCAGGAGCCGAGTTACAAGGGGGGGTGTTCAGACACCCCCCCCCAGCAGGGCGTGGAAATCCAGGACCCCCAGCCGGGCGCGGGTTAAATATATTACTGAAAAAGAAAATACGTTCATGGTGTTTTTCATGACAAGTAAAGGACTATTTATTGGTAAGATCAAAGAAGAGTGGGAACTGACAGTTTGGTAGACCAAATAAATATAAATGTACCCAACGGAGACAATGAAAAAATCAAATGTTTCACTGCTATTATTCTTATTTTCATTTTTAGTTTTTTATAGTTTCTGCATCTTTGAACATCGCCAAATGTTTGAGTTTCCCAGAGACAAGCAAGAGGCAACAGTGCCCGGTTATCGCGTCTGTACTCACGGAGGCTGGTGGCGGGCCTGGTTCCGGAGCCGGTGGTGCTGGTGCTGGTGGTGGTGCTGGTGGCGGTGATGGTGATGTTAGATGATCTGATGATCTGAAAGCAGTCAGGTTTTGAGATCAGCGTGTTATGCTCAGTAAGAACAAGCAGTAAGACAAACAGAGGAATTTGGTCAAAATTAGAACGATTGGAAAAAAAAAAACTTTTGAGTATTACATGTTCATTGTCATTTTATGATTCGACACTTACGGACATGCTGGTGACGGGTTTGATCCCGGAGCCGGTGATCCTGGTGATGATGGTGATGGTGATGGTGATGGTCATGCTGGGGACGGTGGTGATGGTGGATCTGAAATAGAAGCCGCTAGTTTTAATGATTAACCCGCGCCCGGCTGGGGGTCCTGGATTTCCACGCCCTGCTGGGGGGGGGTGTTTGAACACCCCCCCTTGTAACTCGGCTCCTGGGCCACGTAGCGATACGTGGAAGGCGGCGTTCGAAAGAGCGTCAAAAATAATGACGAAATCACTTCGGTCAATTTTTTGGTCAGGGCAAAGGTCAGGTCACCAGAGGTCATTGAAGGCAAATTTTCGCCGATTTCCAGGTCGAATATCGAAAATTTCCAAGAAGCCAACGCATAACTCGGGAACCAATAGAGCTACAGCGCCGCGGAAAAGCGCATTCGATAGCCCTATTAACGCCCTTTCTGAGTATTTCTCTCAAATTTGACCTAACGTCAACGGTTTTGCCTGCAGGGGGCAAAAACTGCAAAAATAGCCGATTTTTTCGGAAACAGTTTTTCGGCAATAACTTTTGACCCAAGCCTTGTACGAGCTTACTTTTACCGGCATCGTGTTCCTCTCGTCAAGGCGCATCGAATGAACTATAACTTGACCTTGAAAGGTCAACTTGAAAATTTGACCTCAGGTCAAGGTCATGACCTGACCGGAAAGGGTCATGTTGCATATCAGTCGATCCGTATCGTCGAGCTGAACACATCTAAGGCGTTTTCATCGCCCTAGCATGCCTCTATCAAAAGTTATTTGCGAAAAACTGTTAGATACAATTCGTGACCTAAGATGACCTCAGGGCATAAACAAGGGTCACGGACACCATTTTCATGTTCATTGTGTCTAAACCACTTGTAATTCAGTAGTTGGGAGTGTTTATAATGTCTTTCGTCCAAAAGAGACGCATTTCAGTTTTCTCCCATTGACTTATAATGGGGAGGTCGCAAAATTGACCTGACCTTAGGTCACCGATATCAAAATTCCGAGATAAACATTTTATAGATACTGTTACTCTTATCAATCTCTGAAAGTTTCAAAGCGATCGGTCACTCGGTGTAGCTATGACAAACATTGAAACTTTTTATGAGGTGAGGTCACTTCAAGTGACCTGGTGACCTGACCTTGAATGACCTTGGTCTGAAATTTTCACAACATGTGTAGAATTGATGTATGATAAGGTATACCAAAAACGGCGGCGCTCCGCGCCGCCGTTTTTGAGATATTCGTGAAAAACCACAAGGGGGGTGTTCAAACACCCCCCCAGCAAGGCGCGGGTTAAAGTTATAATGTCGACATTGATATTTAGATATTAGATACAGCGCTAAAGAAGGGAAATTACAATGACAATTATTTTGAGTTAGGAAGCAAATGGTAAAAACATGAAAATCGCACCATGCATTGTTTATAACTCGCGCGGGGCTGGGGTCTCCAGCCGAACGCGCGGGGCTGGGGGGGGGGGGTAAATTTCCCCCCCCTGTTATCTCCCGAACTAATGGTCCGATTTGGAAAATTCAAACGCCAATCGAAAGATCTCATCACGGACAACTAAAAACATGCACTTAATTTAACCCTCGCCCATGTAGGGGGGGGTTGGTGCAACCCCCCCCCCCTGAGGTTTTTCGGAAATAGTGCAAAAACGGCGGCGCGCAGCGCCGCCAAATTTTGGGTACCTTATGGGGCAAACCTTGCGCATCTTTTGATAAAAAAAAATTTGACCGGGTCATGTCAGGTCACGGAGTTATGACGTCACAAAGGGAACAGCCTCCGGCCGGATTTTCACAAACTGAGTGCCAACGCCCGAGGTTTCCTGCCGGTGGTACGGACATCGGTTGATGGATCGTGATGAAACTTCCCATGCATGTTGGGGCAAGTATTGGCTATCATATGGTATAAGAAACTTGACCGGGTCAGGTCAGGTCACGGAGCTATGACGTCACAAGAGGAACAGCGTCCGGTACTATTTTTGAAAAGCGCCCGAACCACTATTTTGCTAATTCTTGTCACCTCAATGGGAATATGCAGCAATATTAGCTTCTATAGGGAGCAAATGGACCTCCCAAATCCAAAAATACAATCAGATTTCAAAAATTTAAATTTTGATTTTTCGAATTTCTGCCGCCGACTGTGACCTTGCCGACTTCCGGCGCTCCCAACGCGCCATTTTTAGAGCTAGGGAAACGAAATACATACCAAACGATAGAGAATTGATCAAGGAACACGATAGTGAAGGTTTCAAGTCGATATCTCCCACCGTTTTGCCGCAATCGCTGCGGAAAGTTGAAAAAAGTCTATTTTTCCGAAAATTTGACCTTTGACCGGTCAAAAGTAGGTCAAATGTTGACCTAGGACCAAAAAATATACCACCAATCGCGAGATCTCGGCGAGAGCAATCCGTTGGTCTTTTCCGCTAAGCTCTACGACGCTCCGTTTTCAAACGCCAAGGGGGGGGTCGCACCAACCCCCCCCCCTGCATGGGCGAAGGTGGCAGATCGCCGTTTACGGGCGAGGGTTAAAGTTTGAGGTTAAGGTCAAGGTCAGGTCAAGGGTAAAAATTGCAAGTCTCTAAAATGCCCAAAAGTTACTCAGAAATGCCCAAATATGTTCATAATAATTTTTTACGCAACATCTGTTGCAAAACTCTTACATACCCTAGCCTAGACATATTATGGGCACAATAACAGCTGTTTTTAATTCGTAATCAAATGGAGGACATGGTTCTTTTTGCAACGATATCCACATATTTTGTGTCAAAAGCAAAAAGATGATCTGCAAAAGATGTCTAACAAAGATAAGGCGGCATTCATTTTGCATTGCCCGCTGCCCAGATCAGTGCTTCCCAGAATCGCGGAATATGCCGCTCATTGCTTACCATCTTCAAGCTGCTTTTGTAACTCCTCCAGTTCCTTCTGCAGCTCCACCTGCAGCTCGTGACGTCTGCTGCTGCACTCCTTCAGCAGCCGATCCAACTCCTCTGACCGAACAGCTCGGAATCTCTCTTCCAGCTCTTGTGACTGCTGTTGTTGTCTGCGCTCCATTTTGTTCCGCTGTGTTCGGAGTTTCCGCCTCAGCCCCGCCCATTGTGCGGCGTGCTGCTGCTCCAGAACTGCTCGCTGTCTCCGCTGTCTTCGAGACTGCTCTTTCCGCTGTCCTTTGGTCACCGATCTCTGCGGCTGCGGCTGCCCCTCGGTCGGCACGTTCACACCTCGAGAGTCCTCCTCGTGCTGCCGAAGAAGCTGTTCACGCTCCTCCTGGTGACGCGCCAGCAGGCTCTGCAGCTGATGGTCTTGTTCCTGCTCCTGAAGCTGTTTCTCTAACTTCTGTCTCAGCTGATGACATCTCCTCTTGCACTCCTCCAACTGCCGATCCAACTCCTCCGACCGGACGCTCGGGAGCCTCTCCTCCAGTTCTCGTGACTCTCTCAGGTGTCTGAGCTCTAGCTCTAGTCTCTGCTTCCGCAGTGTCCGCCGGAGTTTTTCCCATTGTTTCTGGTGGGAGAGATCCAGCTGCCTTAACTGGTCCTCAGTCGGCATGTTCAGGCATCCAGTGTCCTCTTTGTGCTGCTGATGAAGCTCAATGCGCTCCTCATAGTGACGTTCGTCCAGGTTCTGCCACTCCGTACCGTGTTTCTGCTCCAGATGTCGACGCTCCTCTTCATGGTCTTTGTCCATCCTCACTCTTTCTTCGTGACCTGGATCCTCCAGCTCCTCCCAGAGCTGCTGATGTTGTAGTTCCAGCTCCTTCCACCGCTGCTGATGTTGCTGTTCAATCTGCTGCCACCTCTGTCCGTGTGGGTGAGGCGGACCCTCTGGTGGCTGCTCCTCCTCATCGCAGTTCTGCTCCTCGTCTTCGACCCCTCCGTCGCGGTCACCATGAGGCGAGTCTGGAACACAGCAGGTCAGACAGAAGTCACACGCTGGGAGGAAGGTCGATAGGCGACCAAATCGAAAGAAAACTGGATCATTATTCACAGTACACAAGACCATGTGTTTTGGCATGCCATTTATCAGCATGAGCAAGAGAATAGCAAAATATAGTTACTGCGCTCAACATTTTGTATGCATTTATTTTTACGATTTGTTTCGATTTGTTCAAATAATGATTTTTTATTTTTACGAATTATTCAAATACCTAATGAGCACTGCATCGTGCATCACGGTGATAATGTAACAAATAAGACACTGACTCGCGGTACTGTACATGACTGAAACTGTTCAGTATCAGCGTCATTACTATCGCCATCTAGCCCATGATGTTTGATAAGAACACAGGACGGCAGTCGGTGGACAGGGCACCTACTTAGAGTGGTCGGGGTTAGTTTTTTTTTTTTTAACCCGCGAGTTGCTGGGGGGGCCGCAGGCGCGCCGAAATTTGGGTACCTGTAGGGAATTGATTGTAGTTTATTGTGACAAAGTTTCAAAAAAAATCGGTCGGAAAATTTTTGAGATATCGAGGTTTTCGTGACGTCATGATTTCTGAGTTTTCGACCAAAAACGGCATATGTAAAAAAATCATATAAAATCACAGAATCGACATAGAGACATGCCGTAAACACCATTAGACTGCCAATACCATGGACAATCAAATGGCTATCTTCGATTATTGATTATCGTTCTGCATTTTCCAAAATCTTGAACTGAATCTTGGCAATTTCTCGTGACTACTTCACGACCATGATACATTGATACATACATTTCTTAAATTGAACTTTTTGAGCCAAACACGTACACATATGATAAAATGAATGTCACCATCGTGTTCTACACCCCAAATTACCCATAAAACATATGTCGCAGGCTGCGAATATCAGTTTTGATTTTCGGGGATATGTGCCTACCCGGTTGACCTGACCTTGACCCTGACCTATGCTTGACTGACCCCTACATGGAGCTGACACTCTTGTAGGCCTTATATGATGGATTGTGCACCGTTTTGACAACGTTTATGACGAGAGGCGCCCATTGCGAAGCCCTGAAGTCCATGCTACTGAAAGCCCGATTTCAGGTGTTTGACCTGACCTTGACCCGACCTTTGACCTCAAAATTCAACTTTAAAGTACTCATCTGAAGCGTCTCGTCGCGCTCTTTCGTTTGCCGCCTCGTGCGTTTCGCTGCGCCTATTTGTTCTCCAGTTATCGGCTGGGGGCGTTTAACGCCCCCCCCCCCCCCAGCAAACGGTGGGTGGCGAAATACCCCAGCAACTGCCGGGTTAACCCTCGCCCGCACATGCCATCGTTAGGCGGCACGCGTATTTACAAATTGCAACCGAGCTCCGCCGTAGGGTATTTTATTTCCGCCGTAGTGTATTTCACTTGGGGTATTTTCTACCATACATCTGCCTGAGCTTGGGGTAATTACAATTTGTCGGCGACGTTCAAAAATGATGCACCTTTTTTCGCAGTATAGGTTATGTGTGCATGTGCATATTTTTGCCTTTTGGTTGCGCCTTTCCCTCGCTCGTATAGGAGGAGGCGTTGAACGGACCCCATCGGTTTTTCGTGAGTAACTCGCGTAAAACCGTTTGATCTCGACGAAACTTTCAATACCCCCGATTTTATCAATTTTACACCTACCCTGAAAATTTCATGACCCTGATCCAAATGACCTTTAACCTGTGACCTATTTTTCGAGACCATGTTTGGCCCGAATCGCGATTCGGCGTATGTCGGCTCGCATTAGCCGCGCGTTTGCAGTCTTTACGTGGTTTCAAGCGTTGAAACATGTGATATGATGCTGGTCCCATGCATTAGGGTGGGTGTCAAGGTCACCTGAAGGTCAGGTCAGCTCAATGACCTTTGATGACCTCGGTTCACTTTTTCGAGCTTTACATGTTTCTAGGCTAGTTTTTGGAGCTGATTTCGAATTTAGCAACCATTTGAACATTATAGGGGGTGTAACAAAATTATCCGGACACCTTCCTTCCCACTGTAAATAAAAAGCAAAACATTCTGGTACTTTTTCTTTTAACTGAGCATGTAGCCACCTTTTATAAAAACACAGTGGCGAATGTTCACTGGAGCATTTCAGCCACTGGATTCTCCAGCACACTAGAGAATCCAGTGATGATGTCCATGTCACATCACATGATGTGACATGACCTCTGTGCCCTGTACGTCTCCCCTGCTGCTGCAGCAGAGCCCCGGCTTCAACTATAGCTATTTAACCCGGCAGTTGCTGGGGTATTTCGCCACCCACCGTTTGCTGGGGGGGGGGGGGGGGCGTTAAACGCCCCCAGCCGATAACTCGAGAACCAATACGCGCAGCGAAACGCACGAGGGGGCAAACGAAAGAACGCGACGAGACGCTTCAAATGAGTACTTTAAAGTTGAATTTTGAGGTCACAGGTCGGGTCAAGGTCAGGTCAAACACCTGAAATCGGGCTTTCAGTAGCATTGACTTCAGGACTTCGCAATGGGCGCCTCTCGTCACAAACTCTGTCAAAACGGTGCACAATCCATCATATAAGGCCTACAAGAGTGTCAGCTCCATGTAGGGGTCAGTTAAGCATAGGTCAGGGTCAAGGTCAGGTCAACCGGGTAGGCACATATCCCCGAAAATCAAAACTGATATTCGCAGCCTGTGACACATGTTTTATGGGTAATTTTGGGCGTAGAACACGATAATGACATTCATTTTATCATATGTGTACGACTGTACGTGTTTGGCTCAAAAAGTTCAATTTAAGAAATTCATGTATCATGGTCGTGAAGAAGTCACGAGAAATTGCCAAGATTCTGTTCAAGATTTTGGAAAATGCGGAACGATAATCAATAATGGGACCGTATTAGAGCCGGCGATAATCACGGAGCATTAGTGTCGGGCAGACTGCGGCGGGGCAGACTGCGGCGATCCCTAGGAAGAACAGCTAGGGAGAACAACATTCGACAGATGGCAGCACTAGACGAGATAATCAGGCAAATGGCAATACTTTAATATTAATGGGAAAGAAATAATGCCAATGTTTGCCCTCAACCAAGCATGTTACCACGACAATGGAATAATGTATTGTAGTACCCCTCCCCGGGCCCGCTGCGGGCTGGCAGCGGCGGCCGGAGCCGGTCCGACCGACCTTTAGCCGGCCGGGTCAGGTAACCGGGACGGCCGCGCCGCAGCGCCGCGCCCGGGCCGGCCGGGAGACGGAGTCGGGTGCCCGCCGGCGAGCCGTCGGCAAGGGCGCGGGGCACATTAGTCGAGTTGAATGTTCACTGTTCAGTTTTGAGTGCGAGTGATGTATGTGTGAATCGATATGTGAGCAGCAAAATCCAACAAGAAAACAAAATCCGTGAAAGAAAGGCAACGCTGGCAAACATCACCACCATAGTCTTCCTACGCCGAACAGGTTCTACACCAACTAGCATCAGCGAGAGTAAAACTAGGATCCTAACAGACCCACCCACCGCCCCACCGTCACCCCATTCCTTGCCAAGTCTCCTTCCCCTCCGCTCGGGGCGTCTTTCAGCTACGCAAGAAGGAATCGGCAGACACAGACACCTGGGCGAGCGAGGAGGGGAAGTTGAGACCGTGTTTCCGCCAAAAGAGAAAACAACCAAGGTAGGTGGCAGGTAACTACACCTGCGCTATCCACATCAGCTGCCCCGCATGACACTAATCGAAGATAGCCATTTGATCGTTCATGGTATTGGCAGTCTAATGGCGTTTACGGCATGTCTGTATGTCTATTCTGTGATTTTATATGATTTTTTGAACATATGCCGTTTTTGGTCGAAAGCTCAGAAATCATGACGTCACTAAAACCTCGATATCTCAAAAATTTTCCGACCGATTTTTTTGAAACTTTGTCACAAAAAACTTCAATCAATTCCCTACAGGTACCAAAATTTGGCGCGCCTGCGGCGCGCCGTTTTTATGCTATGGCCCGGCGAAAAAAGTGGGGGCGTTTAACGCCCCCCCCCCCAGCAACTCGCGGGTTATTAAATCACACCCATATAATAACTTTGGCAATGTTGATAACTCTTGCTGTCTTATTGAAAAGCAAATCTTCAATTTGTTCATATCCAAATCCAATGCCAAGCACTGAAATCTTGTTGCAAGGCCATAAAAACAACAGACAAAAACAAAACAGACAGGGTCGGTCTTGTGGAAATCGCCAGTGCGGTGCGGCGGCCTTGGCGAAATTTCCCAAGGCTGCTCTTTGTTTACATTTTAGCGATGGGCCAACTTGGCCGCCCAAGTACTTGTTTTGCGTGAGTAGGGGAGAGCGGGGCCAGTTGAAACACGGGGTCAGATGAAACATGGCTTTATTTTCAACAGTATGCAACATATGGCGTTGCCGACACCACTGCGCATCCGCGCTCGACCACTTCCTTTGTCAACGGCGTTTGGGCGGCAAACGGACGGTAATTTTGATTTGACACTTGTTTTTGTGTTTTTGAGGGGCGTTTTGGAGAAATCGTTTTTATGAATATTTTGTGATATCTCATATACCTTTGTTTGCTGAAAGAAGAACTCCTGGCTCCGGAATAACACCTTATTTGGCCCTTCATTCAGCATGATGCCGTCCCTCCAGCTCGTTTGACATGTGCTTTACGGCGCGTGCGAGATGGCGGGAGCGGATGGGGTCAATTGAAACGCTTCTCTGAGGGTCAGTTGAAACAGGGCCACAGGCCGTTTCAATGGACCCCGGTGACCTTTGCAATGGTTATTGTTCAGGGGCTGTAAACATTAAATGAAATAGTCCACCTTTGAAATGAGCTTTTAAACTGAAAAAGTAGTTTAAAACCCATTTACGCCCTTCGTTGCGTTTTCGCAACGCAAGCAAGCGTCGACGTGATCGAAGCTTGAGAAGTGTGTAAAAGAGACTAACCGATGAGACAAGTTTCAGCGTGTGTGGCATGGTTGTGCACATGATACTACGCAGTTACAAGTCTGTGCGGCCGGTAAGTTACTGCCTAGAGGCATATTTACGTCTGGACAACGAGTTGCGGGGAAAAGTGCTGATTTTGTTGCAGTTTTAGGAGCCGGTGATGAGGCTGGATTTTTGGGTTACCTTTTCGTTCCGATTTATGTATTTCATAGTGTTTGGCTTTTGAATATTTTAGTTCTTTCTTCAGGTAAATATTACTTGCCTTACAACTTTTGTAAATACGTTTCATTTTTTATAAGCCGACCTTCAGAGTCCTAAAAATACATCAGCACTACAATCATTGTAAACAAACAAATGGAGCACCACTTGGCAGTTGGTT